TAAGGAAGTTAGGAGAGAGACAGAGGCACGTACTAGTATATGAGGTGTCAATAACTGTATTTTGAAGTTAAACCAGTTCAACCAAAGGTGTTCTTTTACACATATCTACTTGTATATAGCAGCTAAATGCACATGTTCCTGTTGCACTTGTTTAAATGCACAAGTGGTTTATTTTGTACATTGAGAGCAAAGAAAACATTCTCTGAACGTGTCCATCGATTCTGACATGCTTAAGCAGCCTGCTTTCTGTTTCTGTGTAAGTCCTGTTGACTGATGTCAGCAAATGTTTATTGATTTATGACAATGACACATCAGGTGAGTGAGAGATGATGATGAAATCAGTGAACTTGACCTGAGAAAGTCAGAGAGGACATCTCTTGTAAACATACCCAGACAGACGATCTTACTAACAGTCTAATAGTCATTCAGACATCAGCTCAGTCACTGTGTCGGATTGACGGCATTTTCCTGCTCGAGGGCATCAGGCGAGTTCATGTTGACGCAATGCAGTGATGATGCAACGCTCGTTGCTGACTGAATACAACAGAAGCAGCCGTGAAGCAGGTGTGTGTAGGCGCAGATAAACATTATACACCCTGTTTTTGTGCAGTGACTTAATCTTCTTTTGTCGAAGCGGGTCATGGTTTGGGTCAAGCGCCGGCTGTAATGATCTCAGATGTTCTCTCCAGGTTGTGTTTGTGTTGTAGGTGTGATACAGGAGCTTGGCTTCACCATTTCAATATAAATCATTAACAAATGACAAGGTTGTGCTGTTACTGAGACAAAGGTTAGTAACGAAGGTGTTATACAAACACACACCAAAGCCTCTTTTACACTCATAGAAGTAGAAGAGCTTCGAGGAACTTTTTGGGGTTTCTTACCATTATCAGCGTGGAGCAACTTTTTGAGCTTATTAAGGAACCAAAGCGGCAGAAGTTACACAACAAACTTCACAGAAAGATCTTTTAACATAATGGGATTTAGGGTTCCACTGAAGTCATTATTACCCCCAAACATTAGAATATTTTAAACAAAATTGTGGATGGTTGTAAAAAGAACAGAACAGAACTTTTTTTTACATTGAGGCAAATATGAACCTTGGCAAGTCAGACAAGATCCCAATTGCCCAAATATGCAAAACTAGTCTCTAAAACTTGCATTTAGTAGGTAACATCTCCCATATTATTCAAAAAAGCTCCATAATTTAATGCCAAAAAACTATATCTTTTAGTAATTCCTTCATATGTTCGGAGTTTTAGTGAAGTTTTGGAAAAATTATTTACATTTGAATTCAAATAAGGAAATAATAATCATTTCAAACTTGTTATTCCTTTGTCATAAAATGAACTATTGTAATATATATGTGTGTTGAAATACTGGTAAATATTGGTAATATTGGTAAATTTAAATTAAAATTAAATAAATAAAAACAAGGTGTAAATACAGTTAAAGTGTCAGTTAGTTCTACATTGAACTCTACAAGAGATCCTCCAGGAACTTCTTCCCTGAACTGAGCCAGTTAAAGGTGCCTTAAATATCTTCACAGTTCCTTCAGGTTCTCCTAATTCTTAGACAGGAGTTCATTTTGCTGCCTCTAATCTTACTTTTTCTGTTTGTAAACACCTACAGCGTTCTGCAGAGAACAGCCACAGCCTCAGTTCTCCTCATGTTGTTGTTTACAGAAGGAAACCCCTCATTACTGATGATGTACACTCAACAACTTCCCGTTTCCCCCAACCTCCTCTCTCTCGCTTCCTGTTATCAGCTGGCCGACACTAATAAAGCGGCTCTGTTTTTTACAGCCAGCTGCAGAGCTAACGAGATGCGCCACAGATAAACCCACCGATGGCTCCCAGCTTCGCTTCGATAGGCAGCAGAATGCTGGACGAGTTTCTCACGCACCCCGTGCCGTTAGTTTTCAGGAAGCACAAACAAGCAGCCCAGAGTAAACACGGCCATTTAACATGTTGAGGTCTCGAGTTATTAAAGCAGCATGCTGGTGGTAAAGACCCGCTGCATCTGGCACATCGCAGTGTTCAGCAGACTGATACATCACACGGGCTGTAAAACACTCCTTCAATTAGGCTGTTCTGGGATCTGTTTATTGAGCTTTTAGAAACTTGAGAGATAAAGTTCCCCCAGAGCAGATTCCTCTTTGCGCTTTCTCTCATTTCCCCCCCCTACTAAAAAAAACAAAAAAATGTACAGACAGGATCCAACCCAAGGAAAGTATTTTTGAGGATGAAGATGGGAACAGCTTTTACCAGCAGAAATCAGGGCTAAGAAAGAAAAAAAAGAAAAAGAGAAGCAATGAGAGAGAGTAATGCTGAGTTACAGTTGGAATGACAGACCGAGGAGCTGGAGCGTTTTTCTCTCGGCGAAGCTTTGTGGGCCAGTTGGCTCGGACCAGAAACAGCAAAACACAGGGCCGTTGGCATGACGACAGAGGAACACTTCCCTCCTAATTCAGCTCCGCTCCACCGCAAGGACAAAGAATAAGAGAGAGTGATGGAAGCCCGCTCTGCTTCTCAAGATTAACTTTTAGGCACAGGTCGCGTTTGAGAAGAGTTTTTTCTTGTTTCAGAGCACAGTTGGGATGAAAAAGTGGGACGTAGCGTGCATACTGTAGTGGCCTTTTCATGCACTTTGTGGTTAAGGCGGTCTGGACGTTGAGAGCTGCTGCTGCAGGGTCACAGACCTTTGCTTGATGTAAATCCTTAAGTGGGCTGTGAAACTATTCATGCAGCTGCAAATAACACAAGCTGACCTTTTCGTGCACTTTAAAATATGAAGCAAATGTCTTAACAGGAGTCAGAGTCCAATCTAGTCTGGCGAAATGAGAATGCTGTTATGATAAATTGAAGTCAAATGCCATATCAGTTCATTTTATTGCTGATGGATGACTTCATTGTGTATCACAAGCAACTTTTTTTTTGATTTCTTGACCATATTAAGAGATACTAAGACTACGTTATGATGCAGTTTGGCTTTGTAATGAATGAAGCTGTCTGTGTAGGAGTTGCTACTTTATATAGGAAGGAAAAAGCCCCTTTTAAGGCGAGGGGATTATCTTAGTTAGAGCTGGATAATGTCCACCTCGTGCTCTGAGAAACAAGGAAGAGAAAGAACAAACTCCTCCAGCTGCGGAAACGCAATACTCTGCATAAGAGGGTGTCAAAAATGAAGGTAAACCCTGAAAAGGTCTTTGAGGTCTTTTCCTGCTGAGGCAGTATGAGAGAGGGATGAGGCTGTGAGGAAATTAAGTGTGTTTCCTCTCTGCTGGAGCACTCGGGCAGGGTGCTTCTGCCTGCGAGAACACAGCCAAAAAAGGAATCAAACCGCTGCAGAGCGCCACAAGCCTCGCGAGCTGCCAAACTATTCCTGTAAAAGCACTCTTTTGGTGGAGGCCTGAGCAGGAGACCTTCGGGGAATGTAAAGGAAAATGTATACAAAGAGGGCGACACATTGAATTGATTGTGTTTAAGGAGAGCACCAGGTGGGGAAAAGCTTCAATGATGGCAACGGACGCTTTTGAATTAATGACTATTTATTTGGGCCCGTGAAGCCTCCTCTGAAAGGGAGCATATGAGCAAAATAACCAGTGAGGACAGACTAATCAGTCATGTTGCTGTTGGCTTGCATGGTGGGTTTGTTACTCTACACTGCAACTGTCAGTTTTGTCAAATATTCGCTGGTGTTGTTTGCAAATGTGTGCAGGGGGGGCGAGTCTAAAGGGAGGGGGGGTTTCCTCTGCATTGTCACAGATGAAAAATAGTGGAAACAGTCCACTGATTATTCAACATCTGGAAAAGATTTGGGCACGTGAACTTGGTGGACTCCTGACAACATGCACCGCTGGGATGTACAGTATATTCTGAACAGGCTGCTTGTGAAGAACTCATCAGTCTCACATCCACATAGCTGTATACTCTCAAGGTTTACAACTTTTCAGCCTCTCCTAAAGGCCCACATCCTCCTCCTGATCCTGGGCTTCTGAGACTTCACTTCTGTGCTGTGGTTTTGAAAGTTAGTCCTCTTTGAAAACCCTCCTGGTGCGTGTAATGTTTGTGTCAGCAACGCTACAATAAAAACTTGAGATTCAGAGTCGATGACATTACAAAAATTTCTAAGCTCCCTCTCCTCCGCAATGACGTGAGAAGACAGTGAATCAACCAAGCTGGGGGCGAGATTGGACAACCACACCTCTAAAAAACACAGTGCTTCATCGTCAGGACCCATCTTTGGAATGACACAGCAAATGTTGCTGCCTTTTTAAATACAAGCAGCCACACCTTTAACTGTGCGGTTTACTTTTCCTATTTTACAGATAGGCAAACACCACATCTGAGCTGAGCAGTTAACAGTCCTTCAGAATAAACTGCTGCACTGTCAAACAACAGGAACAGAGCCGTTTTCCTCGCTATTACACTTATCTTCTGATTCCTGTTCCATAGTTGTATTGTCAACAGTCTGGTTTTTTAACAGGTCTTTGTGAGAGGCTGGAGGCTGATAAACTATCAGTCCGAGCTGCTCGTGCAGCGGTTTCCTTCCCACTCGTTGCGCACATACCACTACTGTGCTCGAGCCTCTGGCCTGCCCAGCTATCACCTCCAGAGGAAAAACAGTTCAACTCCTGCTGACAACTGTCAGGCTGTGTGCTGATGTCATCCTTAAAATGCTTTAATAATTTACAGCTTCACACTGGTTTGGTTTCATCGTCAGTCAGCTGTGATTTGATTGGCATTTTTACTCTCCAACGACTGTGCTCACATCTGGCAGCCGATCCTTCTGCCAGTTGTCTTCTCACTACAGTTGGATGGAGAGTGTGCTGTTGTGTCATGCATAAACTGAAAACAGATGCATGATTTTGCAACATTTTTACTCCTACCTTGTCATAAAACTTCCCCTGAATAGAAAGGAGAACTGTTTTGTGAGTAAGATTCACTAGAAGGCTTTAGTTTCTGATTTCCATGGCTCATGATTTTGCTTCTTCTTTCCAGAAACGCGTCTCAGCTGAAGCAGCTGCAGGACCAGATTCTGTTGGAGCAGCAGGAAGCAGCCAACTGGCAGCAGCAGCAGGAGCAACAGAACCAGGAAGTCCCGCCTCCACCTCAGCAACCACTTCAGGAAGCACCTCCACCTGCTCCACCATCTCCGCCTCTCCCCCCTCCTCCCTCCTTCCAGGAGCTGGAGAGCAGCGCAGCCATGCAGGCCAGCACCTTCAACTACGCCCGGCCCAAGCAGTTCATCGCTGCTCAGAGCCCCACCACGGCGGGCTACGTCACCCAGTCCTCCTCCGGGTCCAGCCTGTCCTCCCCCCTGTCTCCCCCCACCTCACACAAGCCCTTCAGCCGGGTCACCGTGCCTCCCTTCACCAAGGCTGGCAGTGTTGAGTCCCCGAGCTCCCCTTCCTTCCCGCCTCCCCCTCCGCCCTTCCTGAGCTCCAGCAACCTGTCCTCTCCATCAGGCCCTGCCCAAGACTTCCCTCCTCCTCCGCCTCCTCCTCCTCCACCCGTCTCCATGTCTCCGGCCCACTCGGACATGTCCTCCCCGTTCTCCTCCGTCCCTCCGTCTCCAGCCTCCAGCTTCCTGTCCTCGGTGTTACCCTCCACACCTTCCACACCCAGCAGCCCTACAATCAACGCCCTCGGCCTTCCTAAAGGCAACGGCACTGTGTAAGTCTCCCTCACACACATGTAAATATGTCTTCACAGAGTCTGTAAATGAGTTTATGAGCTCTTTATACGCAGCATCAAGCAGGACAGTGTGTCACAGGCAAGTCGAGCTCTCTGGCGACTGGCTGCTTCTGCTGGATGGAAGATGACATGTTTACATTTTTACACTGCATATTTGCAGTAACATGCTAACTACAGAAACCCACACACACCGACATAAAAGTGTCCTCAAGGTGCAAGAGCCTTAGTACCCATATGGCAGGAAAATATACAGAGGAGCTCAGAGTGCAAGGTGCAAATAAACACAGCGTATGTGCTCGAGCCGAGATGCTGGTTATTTCTCTGTCAGAATCCATCACCAGCTGATACAGAGTGCAGGATTTTGATTTTGCATTTTGATAAAAATTTGTTGTTGTGTAGATAATCCCTCTCTGATGGCCACCCCAGAGGGAGAAATGTACTTTTTTCCTCCCCTCCATCAAGGACATTCCACCTTCAGCTCTTTGCCAGTAATTTTTCATCAGCCTCTCACTCACTCGCTGCACTCCCCCTCTCAGCCTGGCATTCCTGCTGCAAAGATAAGAAGACACACTGTGGAATGCTATAGCTGGACACGTTCAGATAAGAGTGGCTGTGAGGGAGCCAGAGATGGAGCAAAGAGGAGTCGAGATAATGTGTGTCACAGAACAGCAGGGAGCCCCCCATATGTAATACTGACAAGTTGTTGTTGTGATCTTCCTCCAGCAAAGCGTTCCCAAGGAAGTCCTCAGTCACCAAGACGCCTCGCATCGCCTCTGACTCGGACATCCAGGGATCCAAGGACGCCGTCATCCAGGATTTGGAGAGAAAACTGCGCTTTAAAGAGGAACGCATAAGCAATGGCCAACAGGTGTGTGTATGTGTGTGTGTGTGTGTGTCCCATTAAATTCCTGAAACAACTATGTGTTTGCAGGCGATTAGAGAATGAGCGTGTTCAGTAACACGTCATTAACACAGATTAACAAGTGTCCCAACATATCATACAACTATTCATGGAAATAAAGAGTTTTACTACGTTTAAAAGTGTATTTAACTCTCTGAAGTAGTTTTTGGGAATATTTTTTTTCACTGCATTATAAAGGTCTTCCCCCTTTATAGAAACAGCATGATGGATAGAAGTAGAGAGAACAAAAAAATGGTTTTGTGCAGTAAATTTGAAGTTATAATGCCAGAAATCACAACAAAGAAAAAAACTATAGTTGAAATTTTTTGAATATTTATTTTACAAGAACAGGAAAAGGAATGGAATCAACATGGACAATATTTTTCCAAGTACCCACAGGTGTCATCGATACTGGGAAAAAATTGGTATATTATTACGTACACTTGCAATTTGTTCCTATACTAGTCTCCTAAATGCTATGTGTAAATGAACAGTTGAGAAGTCCCTGAATTTTTTTCATGTGACTGTTGGTCCCAGCTAATTGACTAATAACTTCACGGTTCTTTCAAGGAGTACAGAATTTTAAACAGAATCTGTTAAAATAACAGTTAATTTTTGGCAAATTTTTAAATGACATATAAAATAAAGTAATTTTGATGATCTAATAGAATCTTAAAAATAAATGTGGTCAAGTTTTCCGACAGAGCAGCAAGTTGCAGATGACTGTTGGACAGTGTTTACAGCTTCTGGCTCTGATAAAAGGTGTAATTTTATGTTCCTTTCAAATCCACCATCAGGTTTTGGAGTGTTTTAAACAAGCTTTTGTTTTATGCTGCTTCCAATAAATCCAAAAAATGTTTTCTCCAGACTTAATTACATCCCTTATTAACACAAGGCTCAGATACAGTGGCTAGATGATGGTGTGTAAAAGTGTGTGTTGTGCAACTTACACACTAACCCGCGCTGACCCCATTAATCCCTGCTTCCAGAGGTTAACCTATGAGGAGAAGATGGCTCGCAGACTGCTGGGTGCTGACAACGCTGCCACAGTCTTAAACACACAGGACACAGAGGAGGAGCCAGTCACACAGGTACAGTGGCTCTCTACCTGGATCCACACACCTGCAGGGAACAATCACACACACCTGAAGTCACACGGGCATGGAAAACGTTTAACAACATGTCTACACCAGCACAGATCCCCTCGGTGCATGCACACGACACAGACCCCCTTTATGTTTAGTCCACCGATACTTCTCTGGTGTCATTCCTTTCTCATGATCACTGGCTTTTCTTTATATACCGTTGAATCACCCCCACCCAGTGTCACTGTAAACACTGTTAAGGAGCGAGTTATGAAGGCAGGGTGTAAACACTGTAAAGTCCTCCAGAGCCCTCCATAAAAAGCTCTGTTTATGCAAACTGGGAGAAGCCAGTGTTGCTGCAAACATGCTGGGAAGTAACACTGTCTGACTGTGAGCCGCCTGACGGCCCTGTGGGCGTGCAGGAGAGCAACACCTCTGGTGTGTTTTATAGAGGAACTTTCTTTTCAGCCTTTTCAGCTTAAGTCAGGACAAAGCATAAATTAGGTTTTTATATGTTTCATTTTTTGAGCTAGAATGGTTAGAGATAGTGTTGCAAAAGTGTAATCAATGCATATACAACGTTCACATAGTGCTTAAATGCAAACATATAACTACACGAGGCAGATAAAATGAGAATGATGCCAAAGGATATGAGCACAGAGGAGGTAAAAACAGCAAAATGAGTTAGATTTGATGTAGATAAAATGTAATAGCTTGAGTTTTGTCATGTGGAGGCTCTAATAGCAAAAGCTGGATTTGTCACAAACTGAGACTTGGGAGATCATGGCGATCCAGAGTGCTCATACCAGGTTAAATAACCAGCCGTGCATCTAGGAGAGAGCGTATTTCAGTGCTCAACAGTCAGTTTAAGATCAATCCGAAAAATAACAGAGAGACGACGTCATCAAAAGCCTCTTTGTCCTGGCAATGAGTTGAACAGCAGCGTTGTAGAGAAGCTGCAGATGGTGGAGGAAACCCTGCATGGCTGACACCCGAGTTAAACATTTTGCAATATTTCATTCACAAATAAACAAAAGCATGTAAAACCATTTGTAGATCAGTGATTGATAGAAATCTTGAGCTGAAAAAAGCTTTACTTCTTACTTGATCAGTAAAGCGAAGGTTAGCATCAAACATTACTCTGAGGTCCCTGCTTATGACAGCAAATGAAGGCTTAGCCACCAGCTATCTTCAGTAAAGAAACATCAAATCACAAGTCGTGTCCACACTCTTAGATGAAACTCTGTTATAACTCTGCCATCCCTGTGTGCTGAAGCCTCTTGACATCACTGCATGACTGAGAATGCGTTAGCGCCGATGCATCGTGCTCCATCCAATTTTGACACTGTGTGTGGAATGTGTTTCTGAATTTTCTGTTTCAAGTGCAGGTAAGATCAAAACACATGCTGGAATCCTGTTTCCCCACCTGTGTGACGCACAGTGGCAGAAACACAAACAAAACCTCTTTTTTTGTCTCAACAGGAAGACAAGTCATCCGAATTTTCCCCTCTAAAGGTTATTGAGACCTTCTCTTTCTGACACCAGCTGGTTTTTCCATTCACCCTGTATAAAATGTCACTGTGTGTAGCTGCGCATACAAGCTCACGCTGAAATCTCACATGTGTAGCCTTTGACCACAGCTGGATCAGGTCTGAGAATTAGGTGATAAGAAAACAAATAGCAAACAAAAGGCAGCAACAGTGAATGTGTTTTTGATCACTGAGTTTCCACGTCCACGGGCAGGTGTTTCTGATAATCACAAGAGACTGAAAAAAGGCGGCACCTTTAACTGTTTTATATCATTCAGAATGACTTTCACATTCTGAGGCATGTTTAAAGCTTGATTGTAACACAAGCACCTATCAGCACGATGGTTTTTGCCAGGATTGTATTAGTCTGCTGCTGTCACGCAATGCATGCTGCAGTGCTACTCTGCCATATTTTGACAGCTTTTTGAGCAGCAAACACGATATTACTTTCAGAAAAGACCCGGCCGCCTCAGTGCTTTTAGAGGATTGTTGCTCAGCAGATCAGGACGGGACGCTGCTGTCGCTGTGAGCGGCACAGTGAGTCGTGGAGGATAAACTCTGCAGCTGTGCCCTGAGGCCTGTCATTATCTGTGTGATGTGTCATTGGGCCGGGCTGCTCTGCAGATGTTCCCCAGCGCCTCCGCAGGGTTGCAGCGATGAGAGATTGATGAAGATGTTGGGAAGGAGGAGTGGCTCATCTGGGTGAACAGAATTAGGAAATTGTAGGAAAGCTGGTAGTTTGGGTGACAATGAAGACAGGTTGATGAGTATGTTGAAAAAAAAAAGGACTCGGGCTGTTATTGCTAGCTTTCTGCACACTTTTAAATCTGCTTGCCACCGCCGTGTGATCTCACAAACCACTCTCAATAGACTTTCTCTAAATCTTCCTCTGTCTGGATTTTTAGGAATACAAAGTGTCCAGCTTTGAGCAGCGTCTGATCAGCGAGATTGAGTTTCGTCTGGAGCGTTCTCCGGTGGAGGAGTCAGACGACGACGTTCAGCACGACGAGGACTCGGCCGGCCGGGGGGTGGCGCCGTCCTTCGACCAGAAGCTCAAACACTACAAAGTCTTCGAAGGCATGCCAGTCACCTTCTCCTGCAAGGTCAACGGAGACCCCAAACCAAAGGTAGGAGGGTCGACATGTGACCGAAAGAATGTCAACACCTCTGCAATTGATTTATTTTTTGTAGATGTATGTTATGTAATTTTAAGCGTTTATGACGGCTGGGCTTGCGTGCGTGGGGAGTTGCTGATGTGTGATGTTGATGATGGAGGGTGTAGATACTGTACATATGCTCCATGTTGTGATAAGGAGAGGCCCTTCGCAAGAACACACATTGGCCTGAGCTGCCTGCCTGCCACTGGGCGCTTTAATGACGCGGTGATGACAGGTTCCACAATGAAAAAAGAAAAGAAGTGACACAGAAGCAAAAGAGCCACACAGCATCGCATTAAAACAAATGCAATATATATGTTTGTACCTTGTTAACACCACAACTGGGCATTTCTACCTTGAACCACTTTTGTCAGTTTGCAAGGTGGGACTTTTCCAATCATTATTCTGCTTCAGAATCTGTTTCCACTTCAAACACATACAGCTGGATTACTCCAAAATGGCAACTAACAGTTATTTTGAAAGTTTATTGATCTATTGACTATTTTCTTGATTGATAAAATGTCAAAAATGGTGAAAAAATGTCCATCAGTCTTTAAAAAAACCCCATAAAAAATACTTAAACCAAAAAAAACCATCACTAAAATAGCTGGTGATTAATCTCATTAGCTGACATCTAGTCGATTTAATTGATTAAATGTTGCACACTCTAGAGAAAGAAACGATGTAGAGTTACATAAGCCATTTTAAGGCAAAAAGTGATTATTTTCATGGAAACAAACTCATAAATATGTAATTGTGATACATAGAGATGAGTTTCTAAAGAATTTATCAATGACCTAAAAGGGACTTTCAATTTAAAAAAAAAAAAGTATCTGCTCATGGAAAGTTTTTAAAGCAAAAGAAAGTTGCCCACTAATTTTTAATATCAAAACCTAAATCATAATTATTTTCTCACCTTGTGCCACAGGTCTACTGGTTTAAAGATGGCAAGCAGATCTCCAAGAGGAGCGAACACTACCGGATCAGCCGAGACCCGGATGGAACCTGCTCTCTGCACACCGCTGCAGCCTCACTGGATGACGACGGCAACTACACCATCTTGGCAGGAAACCCTGAGGTGAGCTGAAAACATGACATAACACATTAGAGCCTTCTCTGTCTTTATAAGGCACACATGCATGTTTGGCAACCTGTAGTAGATGTCGGTGCTCATTAGCGGGTGAATAATGCACATGAAGATAATGTTCTCCAGCCTGAAGAGGAAGAGGGCGTTGAATGAGAGAGGAAATCACCAAAACCCTCATGAGGGTCAAAAGTTCATGTTGTACAGGCTTTCTAACAGCTTTTTCCAGCTCCAACACTCACACTTTATTTCCTCCTCCTCAGTCAGACTCCTGCTTGTGTCATCACCTCATTGGCTCTATTTCTTTCTGTCTTCCCCTCACAGGGCAGAGTGAGCTGCACTGGCAGGATGATGGTCCAGGCGGTGAACCAGCGAGGACGAAGCCAACGCTCGGCGCCTGGACACATGCGCAGGTGAGGCTCCACCAAATGAAGAGACAGAACTAAATCTGCCAGTTAGAACATGTGTTGCAGGCCGCTCACCATCTGCACGACTTCTGTGCTCGAGATTCGACTGTGAAATGTTCCAAGAAGCTTCTATTTACGCAAATGTTTGCCACGAGCTGAATCACATTTTGTTCTGTGCGCTCAGGGAAGTGAAGCTTGGTGTTAATGAGAGGGAACACCTGTTTTGCGGTGTTCTGTTTTCCATTGCTCTAATGACCTTGTATATACAGTGTGCATTCATGCAGGCCTGGAGTTTTGAAAAATCCACAGATGATCACAGACACTCAAATGGCAGCTTACGGAACATAAAAACCACCTGCAGGCTGCTATCTAGATGAACACTCCCCGATTAGACAAGACCACAGGGATGTTTTGAGCGAGAAGAGAGACAGAGATAACAATCAGTGTCTCCAACCTGGTGTCTTTATTTCCCTACTTGGCCGACATGCAGGCAGGGTGGTGATGTCATTGTTGTTGTAGGGCAGAATCAGAGCAGCACCTATGGGTCCTGACCTGCTGTACGGGGCTTAAGGAGACTCTCATAGGTCACAAAATAGCAAGTGGAGGGTTGATATTATGTCTATGAAAGGGGAAATGAGTATGGGGAAAGAAGACTGGAGGGGTTTTAAAGGGTTGTTTTTGAAATATTTCAAAAGGAGCCTTACATACAAATGATACGTGTTCTCTGTCAGAAAACACAGACAGGTGACAAATTAAAGGAAAAACCGACATAAAGTGTCTCAGTGAGGTGTTGGGTCACAATGTCCCGCCTTGCCGTTGATTCTCTGAACTCTGCTAACGTGATAAACACCATTCTATTAAAAGGCATTCCCTCATTTATTGTTTTGATGATGCCATGACCAGAGCGAATGATTCACATTGTTTTTATTATCACAAAAACCAATCAGTTACTGGTCGTGCCCTGTGGATGTGCAAGGGACAAGTAGACCCAAACCATGCCAGAAAAATGTCCCCCACAGCACAAAAGAGTCAAAACTACCCTTATGAGAATAATTAAGCGGTCAGGTTTTCCTTTTTATTTGTCATCTGTTTGTATCCCTAAAAAGCATTCCAGTTCCATGCTCCAGTGGGAGTTTAACATTCAACAAACAAAAAGTAACAGTTTGTTATTTGTTATTCTCTAATAAAATTCTCCACCAATTCAAAGCGGCAAGAACTCTCAAGGCAAAAAAAATGAAATCCACATCAATCCGTAGTTTGAATTTTAATCCCTGTTCGTTTCGCTCTCCCTGTCAGGCCCAGGTCCAGGTCCAGAGACAGCGGTGATGAGAACGATAACATCCAGGAGCGTCACTTCCGCCCTCACTTCCTACAGGCGCCCGGTGACCTCATCGTTCAGGAGGGCCGACTGTGCCGGATGGACTGCAAGGTAAACACAGACACACCTCTAATGTAACCTGCGTTAACACAGTGGTGACGAAAAAAAAAAGAACAGGGAAGGAAGGGAGGTCGATGTGTCGCCAGAGTCCAGACAGTTTCCATGTAAAACAGTTGTTATGGGTCAGTTAGGAATAAATCCATCTTCACTGTTGATTAAACCTCTAAATACTTGACTTTGTGTATCAAAGTTACATATTTAGAAAGCTTTTTTCCATTGAAAGTCTCTCTGCTTCCCTCTTCGCCCACCCCTCCCCAATTGCTGCAGCTCAGCACACCAGCTCACCTAAAACTCCTTAATGCTTCACATTAAGGCACATTCAGCCATCCAGACATGTGCGAGTCAGAAACCAATTCTGAAGAAGAATAATGACAGAAAGTCCCACGTTGCAGCATTGGTTCATTATGTCTGGAACCCCAAAAATCCAAATCTTTGTTTTTGAGGCTATCATTGGTACACTGCAGTTTCAAGGTAGAAACATTGATGTCTTGATGTCTTCTGACATTTTAAAAACGTCATATGGATGTGCTACCAAGTTATAAAAACTAGATTTGCTCCCAAGGGGTTTTTTACAAAAGGTCTTTTTGTGTCTACCTTTTCTATTTCATTTATTTTTGTTTGTGTTGTGAGTCTGAATTCTACAATAAGGAAAAATGAATTTTAAAAAGTCCTGACAAACTTTTACTGCATGAAAGATTAGCTATATATACCACTGGTTTTTGGTCAGTTTTGACAAAACGTGTGTTGGTTTTGAGACAGTGCTGCATCCTTCAGTGTATTTTTAAAACTTGAAAGAAGAAAAGACAAATTATAGACTGTTTTTTGGTCTAGTATGGCATGTTAAGCAATGAACTTTAATGTTACTGTGGTTTCAAGGCTCAAGTTATGACAGAATCTGTCATTTTGATTTTAACCCTTTTGCCTGTTTAGTTACAGTAAGTTTAATATGAAAGTATGGTTCAGCTAACAAAACTCCTGCTTTGATTTAATGTATTGTTCTTATTGTACAGTCTGTAGGTGAACACATTATCCCCCCTACTCTGTTATTGTATGATAGAGTGAAGAGAATGAGACGGTCTAAAATAACTAAGACATGACTGGAGAGGAAAATGCCCGCACCAAAGAGAATATGTTAATCATAGTAATAGAGAAAAGCCATTTCAAATCCGCCCTTTAATTCAACGTCTGTATTGCTTTCAGGGAGGCTCCGCTGCCAAGGAAACGTTCCCCTTTCCGTGCATTCCAGCTTCTTTAGGGAATATAAAAACTAGCGGAGACGAGATGTTTCATCACTTCCTCGTGTTGTGAATGGCTCACGGCAGACAGGGCGAACACAGAGGTGTCATTTTTCAGGGATTAAGTGGGATCAGGTTTTCTACAATTATTTCCCCTCACGTCGCTCCCACCGCTCGTTTTTCTTCCTCCATCCGCTCCGTCTTCACCTCGTCTCCCCGCAGCCCAGAGCGCTCACGGCCTTCTTTGAAAGCTGGTACATGTAATAAAATAAAACAGACCCACAATTAACTCACTATAAAAAGACTGTCTTTTTTATGCTTGACAGAAATAAACCGAGAGCCTCTATTCCTTTGGAGCCCTTAATGTCGAGGATATTTATAGCAAATATTTATTTACTGGCCATTTGTAGCTCCAAGAAGTTTCCATTCTTAGTATATTGTACTGGGCCCCTTCCAGGATGGCTTATCACTGCAACGTCTTCTCTCCTTTGATATTTCTGTGAATACATCTGAGGATTGTGATTTCCATGGTGGCACCATTTTTCCAGGTGGGCAGGGCGCAGCAGAGCAGGTGTTGGGTTTCTCCGCAAATAGACAGGAGAAATAATCTTTCCTCAGTGCAGTTTATTCCCACGACAAAGCGCGCAGGCGACCAGGCTCCTCCAGACAAACACAACACAGACAGATTAACCAAACACTGCTGTTTTCATACTCCCAACAAACACACACACTGGCCCCAAGAGAACACATGCAGCTAATATACTCATTTTCTCCAACAAAAACAAGCACAGACTGCACCAACTAGCCTTCACTGTACAGCCAAGCATTGAGTGAAATGTACTGATTTTGTTGTTGTTGTTGTTGTTGTAGGTGAGCGGCCTGCCCACCCCTGACCTCATCTGGCAGCTGAACGGTCAGACCATCCGCCCCGACTCTGCCCACAAAATGCTGGTGAGGGAAAACGGCGTGCACTCTTTGGTCATCGAGCCCGTGACCAGCCGCGACGCAGGCATCTACACTTGCATCGCCAGCAACAGAGCCGGCCAGAACTCCTTCAACCTGGAGCTCATCGTTGCAGGTAAACAGAGACGCCTCCGCAGAATATGCACCACGTTGGCATGATTTAACCCCACAGCGCTGCTCAGTAACGCACCCTCTCTCTCCGCAGCCAAAGAGATGCACAAGGCCCCGTCGTTCGTGGAGAAGCTGCAGAACACAAGCGTTGCAGAGGGTCACCCAGTGCGACTGGAGTGTCGCGTCACAGGGGTTCCCTACCCGCAAATCTTCTGGAAGAGGGAGAACGAGTCATTCACTCACAACACAGACAGAATCAGGTAAATCAAATATGAAAGCTACACCAAAAAACAGCACTTGCAAAGACTAAAATATAGTTTTTTACCTTGTTAGTGTGTCGATACAGTGTTTTTTTATACAATAGAAGACATCAGGAGTGTAATAGCAGTTCCATTTCCACTGCAAAACTGCAACAAAACACAGATTCAGACTTCCAGCGTTTCATATGTAACAAACCTAATTTAACAAACCCATCAATGTATTCTTCTTTGGACTCCAGCTTGAATATGTACAGCTGAATTACTCCAAAATGACAGCCTCCCAATACGTAGCTAAAAGCAGTTTTACAGTGTTAAAACAGAGTCGTAGGTGAGTTGGTGTGCTCAAGCTGCAGTGAGAAACAAAAAGCCAGTTTCTATGTTACTAACGATGATTTCTGTCAATTTGTTGAGCATTTTCTTGATTGATCGATTAGTTGTTCAACAACATGTCAAGAAACGTGTCTTTTCACATTCCCAAAGCAAGGACTTAACAGTCACATATTCTAGGAAAAACAGCAATTTAGAGTTATATCTAAGTCAGGAATGGATTATTTTCATGGAAAAAAACATCTAAATATGTACCTTTGATGAACAAAGATGAGTTTTTAGGGGTTAAATCAACAACCAAAGAGGGATTTTAAGGCTTTTTTTGTGCTTAACTCAGTTCACATTTGCACTAGATGGATAATGTTACCCAAAGAAGAATACTGAAGTAGTCACTTAAACGTATGTCAACGCTCTTTCCCAGCATGCACCAGGACAACTGCGGCTACTTGTGTATGATCATCCAGCCAGCGATGAAAGAAGACGCCGGCTGGTACACCGTGTCCGCCAAGAACGAAGCCGGCATCGTCTCCAGCACCGCACGGCTCGATGTTAACAGTACGTTCAGGCTATAAAGCACACGCAGCTCATTATGTTTCCATGCAAAACATTTAACCCTGTTTGTTTTCTCTGCAGCTCAGTGGCAGCAGCCCAACCTCCCCAAGCCCAAAAAGGTGCGTCCCTCCACCAGCCGCTACGCCGCACTGACAGAAAGAGGGCTGGACGTGAAGGCGGCCTTCTTCCCCGACTCCAGCCCACTGCAGCCCGGCGGCCTGGTGGAAAGCGACGACCTGTAGAGAAGCGCAGGGAGGAGCGAGCATCGCCCCAGAAAACCCTGAAAGCTGCCCTAAATTGCTCCTAAGACACATACTTCCAGCGAGGAGGGGCAGAGTTAAATATTGTCCACTACCACTGAACTGAACTGCAGACACAGAAGCAAAGCGTTGGTGGGCAGAGTGAAACGGTGCAGCCTATGTTTTTATAGAATGACACAACCCCATTGTAGTACAGAATTCATCACCCCGAGTATCTTTCTAACTTTATCAACTGGACCTGGAAAATGATTGAAGCGTTTACCACAAGAAAAGACTGCTCACAAACTGTACAGTCGACATTAAAGTGCCTCTCATTTCTGTAAAGATACAAAACCGGTATTAAAAAAAAATGAATGAAACACAGGATTACTATGCATGTTCAAGTGGTGCCATTTGCAGACTAATACAGTTTTTATAAGTAGCACTCTCACCAGCTTTGTGAAGAGACTGATTCAAAGCATCGCCGCTTTGACGAAGGAGATCACAGACTTTTATTACGTGGGCTTGTGTAGCACAGTATCTGATTGTAGTTAGAGTATCATAGTCTCAGTGTTGTCAGGTTGTAGGTTAGCTTAGAGATAATGGACAAGGCCGGGCCTTACAAACTGTATTTTTTATCTTAGCAGAAGAAATGAGGTTTAGTGAAAAGAAGAGTTGTGTTAGTGAAGGTTGGATCTAACAAGAGGGGACGACGAGAGAAAAAGCAGGTTGATAGATGGCGATGCGGTGAAGACTGACTGACTGTCAAATGGAAAATAAGATTAGTGACGTCGGGTCATTTTGGTGATTTTCTTTTTTTTCTTCTCTTCTTCTTTGGCGGTTTATTTTTAGAAGTGTGAATTGAAACACTCAAGAGAGGGTGCTGTGAAAGGTTTCAGTGTATTTGTCACACACATCACAGATTGTCCATTTTATTTTTGTATGAAAAAAAACAGACTATTTACTTTCCCAGCAATCCTGACATAAATTATATCAGCAAACCTTCTGCTCACTGATAAAACAATCCTGTCTGTATCATGAAGTTTTATAAATATATTTACTGCCTTAAATCACTTAATGCAAACACGATTTCTTTGCATGGTATTTTTGGACACTTGTATAGTGCCAAACAGCTTTTACCAGGATGTATAAAAACACAACTTTTTTTTTTCTTTTCCAGTATTCAGGGGTAGTAAACACTCTAACATGAAAAACAAAATGAAATGCAAGGTATATTTATATCTACTATTTTTATGTGTCCTCTGTAATACTTTACAAAGTGAAGAGCTTTTTTCTGTGTCTGTTCGGAGCTTGCATCAGCTGACAGTTACTGTGTTTGCACATTTCTATGCCAATCAATGCCTGTATATGGATTGTTCTCCTGATATTATTTTAGGTTATGAAAGTTAATAAAAATCAAACTCTTCAGAGACAGCGTGAAATGTTTTTATAGACTGGCAGGCTCCTCCTAAAACAATAAGAGATTGCCAAAACACACATTGTCAGTCACAGTGGAAATACCATTCTTGCTAAGAATGCTAATCGGGGCTGTAATGTAATGCAGTCCTTTGCTACAACGTTTAGAAGAGTGCACATAAAAGAGAGACGTAAAGTCATGGTTGTGAGGCTTATCATTGGTAACAGCATGTTTCAATGAAAGGAGCACGCAACACAGCTTTTCAAATCTCATCACCGAACATGACAGCCACCTCCAACCCCATCTGTCCACACTGCAGGTCCAGAGCTGTAACCAGACACTCAAAACATTCCCAGAGCTAAAAATACCCCCCCTCCACCTCCACCGCTACCTCTAATTTCCTCCAGCTGCAGCCCAGCATGCCTGGCCCCTCCACAGGCCCCTCCAGAGGTGGGCTCAGGGGGCCGCTGGTTGGGGGGGGTGGTGGTGAGGGCAACATGTGCCGGCCGTGAGGGGGTCTCCCAAGGGAACAAAACATGAGCGTCAGGATCAGCGGCGGCCGCTTTACAGTCATGGAAAAAGACCAACAGCGTTAAATCTGCTGATCAAATTTAGGACCTTTGGGGCATCGAGGTCTGGACTCGGCCAGACACTCTGGAGTCGGCGGCGTTAGTCATGATTGACTGTCACACGCTTCAGGCCACGCCCACCGTGGCCAGATAGAGTGACTCAGCAGAAAGACAGAGCAGGAGGTCAGTGATGCAATGGTAGATGTGGTTTTGTCTCCTATGTGGCTAGCAAGTAAACAACATATATATATGTTGCTTAGCCCGAAGGCAATGATGTTGTGTTTAGCAGTAAGAGTTTTGACAAGACCAGAACTGATACAGACAACAAATACACAATCTCACAGTCCAATAGTTTACCAGATTTGACTCTGAATTTAATGTGGCTACATAAAGTACAAAGGTTTTCCTCATTCTTATCCATCAGATGCTCCTCAGTCAAGACTAACGTTTATCCTTTTTCACTGTAGGAACTTGCGCACCATTTTGGGGTTACTCAAATCTTTGTGCATGTTCTGACTGCAAGAACCATCCTTGGAGAACCTCTCGAGTAGATACTTCTGATCCATCCTGAAAAACTGCTGTCTATAGCTTGAGATTGATTGGTTGAACTCAGAGAGGACAACAAGCACCGTTTCTTTCTTCCCTCCCAGTGTCCTCGTTTTGTGGTGGTCTTCATGTCTCAAATGTTACCATCAACATTGCAAAATTTGCCATCCTCAGAGTCCTCATTAAGTCACTTCTAGGACTATTTGTCGATGTTTTGGGGCACTCAGAGTTTGCATTGTAGTCAAAGCTGTTAGATCTTTTACCGCAATAGAAACAGAAAGCCTGAAACTGCTGAAGGTTCACATCAACGTTCACCTGCAGTGGAAAGCCGGCATCAGAGCTCGCTGTCCCTTAATGCCTGTTCAACTTCTACGCCTAAAAGAAGGCATTTGATATTCAAAAAAGGCGCCACCTTCACCTGCCTCACTGCTGTTGTACTAAGCAGTGCAATAGCTCCAGAGGAAGCTCCTGCTCCCTACATGGCGAGCTGCAGGCCTCCGTCCACCACCAGCACCTGGCCTGTAATGTAGGGAGACTCCAAAAGGAAGAGCACAGCCTGAGCTACTTCCTCCGGCTTCCCAAATCTGCCCAGAGGGATGAAACGCGTTGCGTCCTCCTCCCTCAACCCCGCGGTCATGTCGGTATGGATGAAACCTGGAGAAAAGCGAGCAATAAGATGACAGAGACTGGAATAAGAAAAGTCACAGCAGATGGTGAAAGGACAGAGATGTAAAGGTGAAATGATGAGAAAGACGTACCTGGAGCCAGTAGGTTCACCCTGATATTGCGTGAAGCGACTTCTTTAGCCAAGGAACGAGTGAAGCCTTCTAAACCAGCTTTAGTGGCACTGTAGACACACTGGCCAGAGTTCCCTTTTAGGCCCACAACAGAGCCTGCAACCACGACACAGAAATCCCCTAAGACATTGGTATGAATGAAACACTGGTATGTTTCTCATTCATGTTGGTGGATGAGCGTTTCCTTCCTCTGACTCTCACAGAGGCTTTAATTTATGCCTGTATAATAAAACACTTCATTCAGGACTTGAAAGTTTTTTTTTAAAAAGCCTGATGGGTGAAGCCCAACTGACATTATTCTGTTCACATTTATGGCTTCACATCCTGGTTTGATTTTCCAACAGCATTCGGTATAAATCTAAAGCGGTTTAGCAGCCAGCCTGCAGTTGGAGGTTTCCTGGATTTCAAGTGACAATAAAAAAAACCTTTAAATCTTAAATGATTTAAAAACATATTTGTGTTTTTGTAGAAAAAACTGTCAGTACTTGAGTTGTGGGTTAAAATGTGCCAAAAAATATTAGTATGGGACTGGAAAGAATGTTATCTTTTTGAAAATTTGTCAAAGTTACATCATTAATCGGAGTCAGAAACTGTTAAAGCAGGAAAATTGTGTGACTTTTTAACAGCCCTAATTATGTGTGGCTTTCAGTTACGTCAGTAAAATGAACTAAAACTAAACTATAATTTCTATTTCATCTATATTCTGTATGTCTCATTTAACCATTTGCCACAAAAAAAAAAACCATTTGCACAAACCAGAGTCTTTAAAAATCGACCATTTCTGTTCTCTTCAGCACAACTGAGAAGCTGTTAGTGACTCAGCTGCAAACAACAGCTACATGACAAAAATTCTGGGACTTTTCACTTGAACTGAGTGACTGCAGGCTGTGTTTACACAGAGCAGATAAGAGACAAGTATGGAAACACAAGAAAAATGTTGATAAAATATCCAGTATGTAGACATACCATTTTTTCCAGTATTAATAACACCTGTTGTCACTAAGAACAATGTTATACAAGTTGATATTCCAGGTTTTCTCGATTTTTGCATCATCAAAGTTTTTTATTCTTTAATGATTTATGGCCTTCTAACTTTGTTACACTTGAGTTCTTCTCGACATCTTCTAGCCATGGCTGTGCTATTTCCTATCTGTATTTCAAGATTTTTGTATACGGCAAGAACTGGAAAGGACTTTTGTAAAATACAGTTTTAACAAATGGCAACAATAAATACTTTAAATAAGCCCACAAGCACATAAGGACTGATATAATAATAAAAATACACAAAAAAGACAAATACAAAAAAAAAAAGGGAAGAAACTGGAAAAACCCAGACCAGAACCTGGGTGTGTCTTGCTGATGCTCATATTAATGGTTCTACAGTTGTAATGTACATAACTGTGCAATTTTCTACAGAGATGCATGATTGGAGTTAAAATATGAGCCAAGAGTTACTGAAAATGAAAGAGGAGCAAAACAATGAGTGGAAACAACTCAGGGTTCCGAGAGTTAAAGTAAAGCTTCTGTGATGAAACTAAAGAAAACAGTAGTGATGTACACTACCACCTAGTGGTCAAACTAAGGATGTAATCCGGTAACGAATGATGTGCTGAAGCAGTCAGTACCGATATTAACGATAGCTGCTCCCGGTGTTTGCATCATGCTGCGCAGTGCTGCCCTGCAGGTCAACATGGAGCCCAGCAGGTTGGTGTGCAGCAGAGCGACCATGTCTTCTGGTTTGGTTCTCAGTAACAGAGCATCCCTGAGCAAAAAGATAGAGTCACATACAGGAGGTCAACCTTACAGTCTTCTATGATAACATTTATACACAGTTTATGAATGTAAATACTTCTGAAAAGATCGGGAAGGCTGCCAGCTCACCTGTTGATGCCAGCTGCATTCACAAGATAAGAGATGTTTCCACAGGTCTTCTGGATGCTTTCGAAGGTTTTCTGCACCTCCTGGTCTTTGGAGACGTCGCAGCTGAAAGCCAAGTGGTCATCTACAGAACACACCAGAGGTTTATCATCAGTTACAAGGCTGCTGCGTGTTCACCCTGTGCAAAGCTTTTTTTGTGTGTCTTAGAGGCAACTTTATTTTCATCTGCATTGATTTTGCATCTACTTGTGTTCATTTTGCTTTTTTCCAGCATTGGTTTACATGTCTCTCTGTCATTTTGCGCATTTTTGTGGCTGTTTTGTGTCTCTTGTGGTTCTCTTGATGTCTCATTGCTGCTGTTGTGCATCAGTTTGTGTTAGTTTTATATTACTTTTAGTCAGTTTCAGTCTCGTATTGATCATGTTGCAGCTATTTATGTTAATTTTGCCTCTATTTTTATTGGTTTAAGTTGCTGTAACTGTTCTAAGTTTCTCTGTAGGTGTTTTGCATCTATCAGTGGTGCTTTTGCATATCTTTGAGGTAGTTTTAACTCTATTTGCATTACATTAGTAACTATTTTTTGTTCATTTTGCATCTTTTTCCATTGGTTTCTCTTTCTGGTCATTTTGTGTATTGCAGTCGTTATTTTGTTTATGTGGTGTTTCTGTGCATCTGTTTGTGTTTCATTTGTTTGTGTTCATGTCTCTTTCTACTTGGTTGCCTCGCTGTGGTCAATATGCTTTTCTTCTGATCATTTTGTGTCTCTCTGCAGTCACTTTAAATCTTGTTGTGTTCTCGTTCTAATTAGTTTGCAACTTGTTTAAATTAGTTTGCAACTCCTTCTGATCATTTTGTGTCTTTGTGGTGATTTTGTGTGTTTTTGTCATCCTTTGATGTCTCTTTGCTGTTTGTGTTCATTTTGCATCTCAGTTCAGTTGGTTCTGTCTCACTGTGAATGACTTCCATAGCTTTCTGGTCTTTTTTGTGTGTCTTTGCAGACGTTTTACATTTATTTGCGTTCACTTTGAATGTCTTTTTCATTGCTTTGCATCTCTTTCTGGTCTTTTTGATTCTCTTTGTAGTTGTGTGTCTTGCTTCGTCGCAGTTTTGTGGCTTTTTATATTTGTTTTGAGCAATTTTGTGTGTCTTTGGTGGTGCCATGTGTCTCTTTGTGGTGGTTTAATTGACTTACTGACAATAAATGTTAAGCACCACTTCAAATAGAGGCTCTACCCCAAAGACCCCCCTGACTGTTCAGTAATCCATCCATAGTCTAGCATACTGAAACATGTGATTACGTGTATACATATGTTTGTGTATACACATCTGTGTCTGTATGCATTTAGTCTCAGTACACCACTGTACCTCCATGTAGAGATGCCACAGTGGCTCTGGCGGCATCTTGGTTCCTGGAGAGGACAGCCAACCTGCAGCCTCTCTCTGCCAGCAAGCGGGACACGGCCTTCCCAATGCCCCTGGAACCTCCACAGACCACAGCCAGCCTGGACATGACGACCTGCAGGAGGGGAAGCCAAAGGGCTGCACAGAAACAGCAACGAAATCAAATATACTGTCCAGATAGTCAAAAATAAGGTATAATGTGTGTGTCTGCTGGCAAAATTCTAAGTAGCATGCAGCTACAGTGGCCCTAAATGCTATAAATATGCCACGAAATACGAAAAAGCTTTATTTAGCAGTTAAACCAACATTGGAGTCGTCGTTTTCAGAGAGGGGCAGTAACTAGGAGGCGTAAAGTCCAACATGAGTCACCTTAAGCAAATGTTTTCATTCTGTAAAGTCCAATAAGCTCAGTGCTGCAGCCTCAGGCAGGTCAACAGCTGCTCACACTTTAGGGTCATTTCTGCTGTTTGGTGAGTACAGCCTCGTTTTCAGCTACACAACTACTGTAGAAAATAAAGTTTATATTATTTTTTTACCTTATTTTTGACCGCTACACTCCGTCTTGTTAAACTCTTTCGTGAGTAAAGGAGTTTTATCGACTCAACAAGGAGGGAATATGAGACTAGTAGCTGCTCATGGACGCCGCCATGTTTGTTGTCGCTGTTGTTGCGCTGCTGCTCTCTGGTCGCTAGAGGGCGCAGTGGAGCCGCAGCGCTGAGCCCGCAACAGAGGCGCAGATATGAGGGGGGGACACAGGAGACACGACCCCATAAAATAAGACTGGGAATTATAAAATAGACGAAAACAAAGCCTCACACATTTTTTTAAATTCTCAAAATGTGAATTTTGTAAAGCATTTTTGAGTATCTTGAAAAGCCCTATATAAGTGTTATGTATGTATGTATGTATGTATGTATGTATGTATGTATGTATGTATGTATGTATTATTATTTTTTGTTATTATTTTTTTTATTATTTTTTTTAAAATTGTGCTTTGGTGTACAAAAATAAACATAAAATAAAAGTAACACATTTGTGATAAATGTTCACCAGAATGCAGGCCTTCATGTGTCCCAAATAATTTTAAAATAAAACCTGCACAGTTGGAGTGTCTATGAAGGTTTGCATCGCTGGATTTTTGTGAACGCCTCAGAGCAGACAAAGCGCAAGTTAATGTTTTTTTTTTGTAATAATATTTAATATTTTTGATATTGTCTAATTGTAGTTTATCCACCTTTACAGGAATCCTGATTTTTTTTTTAAACTTAAAACTAAAATACTTATTACCATAGGCATAGATTTAAATATTTAGAACACGTGCAATATTCTCACCAATGAATATATGTATGAGAAATTAATTCAAATGAATTAATGTATCATTAAAGTGAAATTGTGCCAAATCCACATTCAGAGAGGTTGCCTCCCAAAACAAAAGACACAAACGAAGACCCAAGAATATTTCCATTATACATGTGTATTGAACAGGGATAATCTTAAATGAGATTCTAAATTGTCCGTAGGTGTGAATGTGAGTGTGCTTGGTTGTCTGTCTCTAAGTGTAGCCCTGTGATAGACTGGTGACCTGTCCAGGGTGTCCCCTGCCTTCGCCCTGAGTCGGCTGGAATAGGCTCCAGCCCTCCACGACCCTAGTGAGGATTAAGCGGTGTATAGATAATGGATGGATGGATGGATAATCTTAAATGAGATTATATATAGGAATTTAATAATTGACAACAACCGAGACTACCTATTAGACTTATCATATTCCATTATATTTTGAATTGTCACCTGGTGCCTCAATTGTGTGTTTTCCTTTACATTTTCACCATAGATTAGTGTAGAAAAGGAACAAATTTGTGCATAAATATTCACCAAAACCTGATTCACCACGCCTAATATGTTCTCTCCAATATTCAAATAAAACCTACATCCATGTCTGCAGTGGTAGGTTTGTATTCCAACACAGAACGCCTGACAGTGTCAACACATTATATTCTATTATATTGTGAACTGTCACTTGGTGCTTACATTTTGTGAGAAAAAGGACAAATTGGTGCATGAAATGTCACCAGAATGCAGGAAATTAAGTGTTTGATGCATAAAATTTTCCCAGAGCCATTGCTTAATGTGTCCCTCTAGTATTTCAAATGAAACCTTGCAATGAAACGATGCCCAGTGAGAGGACGGTTATAGGTTTTGGTCAATAAGGATTTGTGTTTTGGGATTTTTGTGAAAGCCTCTAAGCAATCAAAGCACACTTTAATACCAAAAAATGTTAAGAATATTGCCTTCTTGTAGTTTATCCAAATCACACATAAGTAAAGACATTCCTACCCTAAATTAATGCACAAAAAGAACAAACTGATGAATAAAAAATCCCCATAATGCAGGAAATTCAGTGTAATTAATGTTCAAAAAAATCTACATCCTTGCTTATTTCACAGGAATAATGACATTCATCTCTAATTTATACAGCTATGCAGTTATATTAAGACACGTCGACCTGAGGGTCACATAGTTCACGATGAAGTAACACATAGATTTTTAATTACAATCATTCATTTTAATCTTTGCTCGTTGTATCTGTGCTCTGTGCAGAAACATATCTCACCAGGAAAAGCAAAACTGTCACCAGAGCACAAAAAAAAAGAGTAATGTTGAGAGTGGGTGGCCTCGGCCTGGACCTGGACAGTCCATCAGACTGAGACTCTCTGTCAGATTGATTTGCTGATGTGAAATCACATTCACAAGCTGTGCCACGAGCTCGGTGAATCATAGCCGCATGGCGCCGCAGAAAAAAAAACACAACTGTCACAAGCAGCATAATGTGCTTTAAATGCAATAACTCTTTACCGCAGAGTTCATTAATATTAACTGTCAGACGGAGAAAATCGGACTGGATTTGTATTCAGATGGTCCTCCTGAACTCATTATTTCCCTCTTTCACACCTTGGTGATCTAATGATACTTGCCAGCAGACCTGTGTTTTGCTCTTTCATGCACAAACACTCATTCACACAAGATGTGACTGTGTGACCCCTGTGCATCCCTGTAAACACTCACACATATTCACTGCTCAATACCAGGGCTGCAGATAGCAATTATGTTCACAGTTAATTAAGTTTTTGTTTATTCTCTTGATCGCTTGATTGGTTGTTTGGTCTGTAAAATATCAGAAAATTGGGGGAAATGTCGATCATCGTTTCCCAGAGCTCAAGATGACCGATGTTTTGTTTTGTCCTAATATATTCAGCTTGCTGTCATAGAGGAGGAAAGAAAACAGAAAATATTCCAATTTAAACAGGTGGAAACAGAGAATTTTTACTTTTTTTTTGCTTTGAAAGTTACTCAAATCAATCAAAATAGTTGATGATGAATTTAATCCATTGATTAATTGATTAATCATTTCAGGTTTATTCAGTAACAAGGTTGATTCGGACATGTATGTCCAAAAAAATGTAGATTTTCTTGGATTTTGAGGTATTTCTGGAAGCTGATGTGTCTTCTACATGTCTTGCAAAAGTGAAACCAAGACTATTGTGACAGCACCTATACAGAAATCTATATGAAGAAGCCCAGATGCATTATTCATCTGTTTTCCTGATGCAGAAACAGGTTCAAGAAGGACTTGACCAACAATCTTTTCACTGAAGTGCCTTGAAATGGCTCGTGAGCTTAAACATTATCAAGCATTCTTGACCTTGAGGCTCCATTCCTGAGCTCTGCGCAGCCCTTGCAGCTATGAATATTTTACCTACACTTACTGTACACTTTGCATTTCCTATATTTATACACACTTTCTGCCCGACCAGCTAACTCACAAGTTCCTGCAACAAAATCCAGCATCGTCCACAAGCAAAACAAGCCGAGTGGTCAGATAATGTGAAATTAATGCAATAAATTCAGTCAGAATGATTTAAATATTCATGCTTATTGCTAAACAAATGCACTTTTTTGTTGGTCTTATTATTATTATTCCTCCTCAGTATGGTCTCATGCTCATATATTGGAATAACTTATTTCCATGGTAACCCATCCTCTGCAGGGAACAGTGTGCAGCACAATGACCTCTCTGGGTGCCTGTCAGTTCCTGTCAGTGTTTCCAGGCTGAACGCTCTGGGAAGGCTCACCTCGCTCTGCAGCACTCGGCTCTGCTGTAAGTCACAGGAGAAGCTCTGCAGCCGCGGCAGCAGCAGCAAGAACCTGTTATTCCTGGAGACACTAATGACCACATGTACTGCGACTTACCCCCAAACGCACTTAATTAGAAACAACTGTCTCTCTGCTGCTGCTGCTGCTGCTGCTGTTATCGTACGCGTGTATTTTTGGGTTTGCTAACCCAACCTTTGTAATAGGACTGTTGTAGGCTGATTAAAGTTGTAATTCTCATTTTAACAACATCATTAAAACATCCCTTTTTCATCTTACTTAGCAATATTGCCAAGTCAATCCTTTTTTTTTTTTTCTTAGTAAGATGTTAAAATGTGTGTTCATGCTTTTATCTCTAGCTCTTTACTGTAATTCCACTTTTTACTGGATTACCTAAAAAGTCTGTAAAATAAACCGCAGCTGGTTCAGAAAGCTGCAGTCAGAGGCTCAACTAAAGCAAAGAAAACAGATCACATTACCCCAAAGCTTAAAAACAGCACCGGCTACCTGTATCCTCTACATACCACCTTTTAAGTTATTTTACTTGTTGATGTCGCAGTAATTAATCTTTCACCTTTCAACAACATCACAGATTTTTTTTTTTTACATTTTATGTTTCGGTCTGATCACCAAGTTTCTCCACAGCGTTTCTATAAAGGGGAGACATCTCAAGTAAAAACTCCATTTTCTGATTTTGGGATATTTTGCTTCCACAACATGTCTTCTTTCAAAAAGGAAAGCATCCAAAATACAATTTCAGGAGTTTATAACACTTTGTCTGATGGAAATCTTTTCAAATTGGTGCATATTCAAAGAGATACTACCTAATTTGCATTTTTGGGCACAGAATTTCATTAAAAATATATATATATATATTAATATAAAATATCAATATGAAATGTAACAGTATTCAAAAGGAGGGAATTTCCTGGTGATACCTCTTAGTTAAAATATTTACTTGTAAATATGGTTTTCCAATAATAATGTATAGAATTTTACAAAATATATCTTTAAAGCTGTTTTTTTCAATATGAGAAATCTCCGTTTCAGTAGCACATTCACACACCAAATAGACCATTACTCCTATCTATAGTCTGAAGGTATTTACAGAGGTTTCCTTATGTATCATTTACACCCTGATCTATAGAGCATTTTATTCCTAAAAACGTGGCAAAAAATAGCATTTTTCAGGCCGTTGATAGTTTTTTCTTCTTTAACTTATCCATCCATCCACTATCTATACACCGCTTAAACCTCACTGGGGTTGCAGAGGGCTGGAGTCTATCCCAGCTGACTTAGGGTGAAGGCAGGGGACACCCTGGACAGGTCACCAGTCTATCACAGGGCTACACTTAGAGACAGACAACCAAGCACACTCACATTCACACCTACGGACAATTTAGAATCACTAATTAACCTCAACATATTTTTCGACCTTGTGGGAGGAAGCTGGAGAACCCGGAGAGACCTGGAGAGCACAGGGAGAACATGTAAACTCCACGCAG